TGAGGTGATGTCATGAGGATGGTCCGGGCTGAGCGTAGTATGAGTGAGCGAAAATAATTATGGGTGGGCCAATCTTGATAATATGTCACATTCGACATGTCGTTTTCTCTTTACAATCGTTCTGCAAACCCTTTGGTAAGGTAAATGTGTAATAGATTTATATTTTCCCCTGCTTCACTCACCAGTGTAATACATGATGACATGCTCTCTCGTGTCCGGGATCGATACAAAGAGAGTCTGGGAAAGGAAGTTCGTCGAAGTCGCTAATGGTCATGACGTTGTTTGTTTTGTCTTTTTTTTAAAGCTCTACCGAGTTCATATTATATTATTATTGTGTTCAGATAAAACAAACCCGCCTACTAAGGTGACAGCAGATATCTATATATTTAAACAAAAAATAGTAGCACACCCAGTTACTCCACAGCTCCCAGACTCTGGGAATGGGGGGTGGGGGGTGGGGAAGGGGGAGTGGTATCAAAAATCGTGAGCGGGTGGTTGGCGGGTGCTCTGGTGTGGTCTGCTTCTTCTTTCCTATCAAACATCTATCGTCCTTATCTCCCCTTCTTCTTTTTTTATGTTTGTTACTCTCTTGTAAAGCATCTAATCTTCTGGCGCTCATATGACCTTATGCAGTTGCGAGCGCCGTAAAACCTCTACTAAAACAAACAAACATAAAAAAATCGTGAGACGCGTGTGTCGAGGATGTAAAGGTAGCAGCTGTTTTAACCAGATTGAAAGTAACCGGATTCAACAGGTGGCCTTGCCGAGGCGGCATAGCTTCCGATGCCTGGCGCTCTCGTATCGGGGTCGTCTGCTGTCCGGAGTCGTATCGTGTCGCACGCGCGCGCGCACAGAAGTGACGGCACTGAGTGAGCTTGCGCGTCATCAGAGCGCGCTACTGGCTTCAGACAATCAATCAACAGGAGGGGGGATTGTGCTGCAATACTACGACTGCAGTGCCGACTCGACTCGACCTCAGATCGCCGTCTCTTGTCTTCTTCTTCTTCTCCTATCTAGGAACTGCTGCTCACCGCGCGTCACCGCCACCACCACGGCCACCGCCCGCCACATCGCGATGCCTTCATGCCACTTCGAGACACGCTCAGTGCCAGCGAAGAGTTGTAGCGTCTGAGTTTCGCTCACTCATCGAGTGCTGTGAGTGGTCTGTGTGCTGCCGGCGTCCCGTGCGGGGTCGGTCTTCTCGCTCACCGCCGATTATGACGAGAACAAGAAAGAAAGAAAAAAAAAGAAGAATTGACTGCTCGATGACATGAAGAAGACGATCCCTTTCTCGACGCACACTCACGCGCGACGCGAAGCACGACGTTAAGAAGCGCCGCTGCTGCCCTAGGCACTCGCGGACCGCACCAGTTTTTTCGCTTCGTCTGCCAGGGGCTTTTGTGACTCTTTTGTGTTCCTTGTTGCTTTTGTTCCCGCGAGCGCTTCTCGTCAGGATTGTTTCACACTGCGGTGCGCGAGCTGGCTTTTCTTTGATGTGACTCCTCGAGAGTTTGAACATGTGTGCAGTGGTTCAGAATGTTTGAAATTGTTTACTTTCACGCACAGAAGAAGCACAGAAAGGGAACAGATTTTTGTGCATTCTGCTTTTGTTGATTAATCAGTAAGTTTGTAATGGAAATGATAATAAAAATATGATAATAGTAATAATAATAATGATGACGATGGTGATGATTCAGTTGAAATATCATTAGACCTAATGATAATGGTACTTGATTATTCGTGGTAATGATACGCATTGGTGACAGTGAAAGTTTTTGATAACACCTACCTTTTTATTGATGTTTTCTTATGCTGCAGAATTGTCCCCTACGTTTGGTTGTGTTTTTGTGTGTGTGTGTGGGGGGGGGGGGGGGGGGTCCTGCTCCCCAGATTTTAAGTGATATACCGTGTGTTAACGGGAGATGGCTGGCACATCTGGACGTATATTGTCTTCCAGTTTCCTTTTGAATGCTTTTAAATATCCGATTCCTCTTTGGTATCACCTAGATCATTTTCATTACTTCGCTTTCATTTTATTGATTCTTCTGAGGAGGTTTATTCTTTTAAAAGATTCGATAGTCTGAACTCCTCACTGGACATAAATGTTTATTCCCCCTAGATTTTTTTCATTCGAGATAATTAGGACTATTTCTGATCTTGCTCTCTTGACTTTTTTATATTGGTTTTAAAAATCCAAAACCTTGAGAATTCTTTGGGGGTTTTGTTTTAGCGAACTAACGATTTGGCTAAAAAGTGGCGGATGAATTACAATGATCATCGACGTATACCTAGTGCGCTGTGCACGAAGGCTCTGCATGTGCACAGTGTGTGTGTGGGTTGGGGGGGGGGGTGATTAATTCTTAAGTGACACGATGGCTTTGGTGCTCACCGATCCATACGTTTCTTTGACGATAGTCTCTTTGCGGTTAAGTCTTGCCTTTTTCTGGAAAGCCACTTTTGGAAACATTCGTTTCTATCAGTTTAGTTTCTGGGGCTAAAGTTCAAATTAGTGTATGTATGTTAACAGGCTTGTTTGTTATCATATGAACTGAACACTCACATTGCCTGGCAAGTACTTTCTGTGCTAGCTTTTAAATTCCCAATCAACCATGCCTTCTGTCTTGACGGATATATAGCGTTGCAGGTTATTACACACGCTTACTTTTGTCATTCACCGTGTACAGTAATTTTGTTGGTGCCGCGTTCCTTAATTTTGTGGCCTTTTATGCAGTAAATACTTCCAATCAGTTGTTTTTGATAGGGTTTTTTTCTCATTTCTCGCTCCTGTTTTTTGTTGTACATAGGTTTGTGTTCAGTTGATGACGTGAGAAATAAGGACTAAAGAAATATATGTTCCAAGATGAGGCAATGATGGAACTGGCATATTAGGTCTTTGGGGCCGTTCAAACTTCAAGGATAAAAGTGCTGCTAAGAAAGACCAATCTTCTTGTTCAGTTTTCGTGAGAATTGAGTTGCCGAGTCGATTCACTATCCTTTTGAGATACAGTTGACGGGAATTCTTCAGTGCTATCCATTTTGACTCCTTCGAGGAAAAACGACGTCAGCAGTTTTAAGTCGTCGCTCCTAGCTTGGACACACTGAGGACAGTACAGGAGGGACGAGGTCCAATCTTTCTGGTCTGAGTAACCTTGGGTCGATTTTATTCAGAGGAGTGTCCGGCAGGTCTTTGAGCCCGCCTCCTGTTGACCCCAGGGGGAGGGGTCAGACGGACAAAAGCTGTCTGAGCAGCAGAAGTGGACACCGGTCACTTCTTCCGTCATCATGATGCTGAGCCTGGCCGACTGCTGTGAGCGAATGAGGACCAAAGGTGAAGGTGACTTGTTTTCTACTAAGAGCGGATCATCTTGGGCGTTTTTAACAGAAATGTATCTCTCTCTCTCTCTCTCTCTCTCTCTCTCTCTCTCTCTCTCTCTCTCTCTCTCTCTAACATTGTCTTCTCTGTCCATAAGATTCTGAGTATTCTCTTCAGATACCACATTTTGGCGGCTTCCAATCTTCTCCCGGTGTCCTGAGTTAAAGCCCAGCTCTCACATCCATAGAAAAGGATAACCTCATGTACTTCGCCAGAGTTGTTATCTATGTGTTCATTGTTATGTTTCTATTTGAGAGAACAAGTTTCATCTCGTTGAAAATTTCTTTATATGTTATAATCCTCTTAAAAAACAAACAAACACACACACACACACACACACACACACACACACACACACACACACACACA